AAACAACAACGTTGCCAATTACAATTTACCCTTTGATACATTTATCATCAAGTAGGCTGAGCCCTCTTCTGAATGTGAGATAATTCATGGAAGTCATAGAAATTTTAGGTTCAAGGTTAAAACTGTAGATGAGTAAGACTATCTTAGCCCGTTCACTTAACCTTTCTTGCTGCCCTTTCACGGATACATTCCTTGGACAATTGGTCTGTCTGCCTCCATTTTATTTCATGATCCCTGCCACATTCTGATTTCTAACCTCATCTGGACACTGAAAATTGGCCATCTATGACTGCTAATGACCTTCTCTCTTCTAGGAAAATTCGTTTGTCTTCTCTGCTTCAATCTATTGGAAATATATATTGATACCCAAACTGTGGTGTTCCATGTTTTTTTTTTCCAAATGCTCACAAGGTCAGGGGGGCTGGACAGGGGCCAGAGCCAAGGGCTAGGAACAACCCTGGTCTCCCATGTGGGTGGCAGAAAGCCAGTTAAATGAGTCATCACACTACCTCCCAGGGTCTGTGTTAGACAGAAACTAGAGTCAGGAGCTGGAACTGGGAGTCGAACCCAGCCACCGTGATGTCCTAACTGCTAGGCCAAATGCCTGCCCCACATTAACTGCTTGTGTCCACCATACGGATGTAAAGCTTCCGTAAGGAAAACGAACTGTTGCTAAGTCTTTCTCACTGTACTTCCAAAGAGTTCAAGGTTATTAACATTATTACATGTAGATATTAGATATGTCTCTACAGAGAAATAAATGTGTTAGTACGATTGATCTAAAATTCAGCTAATCATAGCTGAATTCAGTTGTGTTTTCCAAATACTTTGGTTTAACATCTGATTTTTTCATTCAAGTATGACATGCTATTATGTGACATGCAATCTTGATATCATATTATTCAGTCAGGATATGAGTTAGTTTTTTTTTAGTTTTCAGTTTAAAAATATTTTGGGGAAATATATATGTGACCTCCATATGAAAATCCCACAGTGGGTCCGGCGCTGTGGCATAGTGGCTAAGCCTCTGCCTGCAGTGCTGGCATCCCATGCGGGCACTGGTTCTAGTCTCGGCTGCTCCTCTTCTATTCCAGCCCTCTGTTTATGGCCTGGGAAAGCAGTGGAAGATGACCCAAGCACTTGGGACCCTGCACTTGCATGGGAGACCCAGAAGAAGCTCCTGACTCCTGGCTTCGGACTGGCCCAGCTCCAGCCATTGCAGCACGAACCAGCAAATGGAAGACCTCTCCCTCTGTTTCTCCCTCTCTCTGTCAGTAACTCTCTCTCAAATAAATAAATAGAAAGAAAATTCCACAGTGAAGGTGGCTTGAAGTCCTGTGGCTAGAGCTTTATTTAGTGATGGCTTTTATAAAAGTTAATTTGCCTTTTGTCAGACTTCAAAATGACAATCCTCCCACCGGGTTGGCAGTATCCCATGGGTCTGAACCTTGTGTGAGAGAAGCCATGGGAAGAGGTACAGCCAGCAGTAGTGGAAAATGAACCACTTTTTGGGAGACATTTGGTAATAACAGTATCAATGAACTTATCCTTTGACCCAACCGCTCCATTCCTGAGCGTTTACCCTACTATACCTTGTTAGAGGCCAAAGTGACCTAGATCCTGGGGCCTGTCTAGTGACATTATTTGCAGCAGCAAAAGACTAAATATTATTCAAGTGTTCAGCAACAGAAACCTTGTTCAAAATAACAATGGAATGTCTGTATTCACACAGAGGAGTACCATAAAGCCATAAAATAGAGCCAAGATCTCTATCTGTTGTTCTGGAGTTTTGTCTACAAAATACAATGTCAGGGCTGGTGCTGTAGTACAGTGGGTTAAGCTGCCACCTAAGACTCCAGCATCCCACATGGGTGCCTGTTGGAATCCCAGTTGCTTCTCTTCCAATCCGGCTCCTTGCTAATGTACCTGGGAAAGCAGAGGAAGATGGCCCAAGTCCTTGGGTCCCTGTACTAAACGTGGGAGCTCTACATGGAGTTCCAGGCTCCTGTGACCATTTGAGGAGTGAACTATTGGATGGAAGACCTGTGTGTGTGTGTGTGTGTGTGTGTGTGTGTGTGTTGGGGAGATACCTACAATGGGAAGAGAATGGAGCAGAACAGTAGAGGAAGAACTTCCTGTGCATGTCTTTCTAGGTAGTTTGACTTTTTAATTATGGAAATATTCTAGATAAATAAACAAAACTAAAACTGAAGAAAGGCCAGTCTTCCTCCCCATGGGTTCTCCCACTCGCGGTTGGGTTGGGTATTAGGCAGTGGATTTCGAAAAGCTAAGGCCAGGGGCTTTGACAGTGGATGTCCATCCTTTCCCCATTGCCACATGTCCTCCCGGTCCTCTCTGTGCCTTGCAGCTGGGACCCAGACTTCACTCTGTCCACCTGTGTTGCTAAGCACATTCCTGTCATGTTCCCTGGGAATGGGTGCCAGCTGCCAACTCCTGCTCAGTATTCCGTCCGTCAGAGCTGGCCCATCTCTGCTGTTACCGCTATCCTCAGTTTTATCCATACACCTCTGTTGGGGTCCCTCTACCTTTGGTTCATTGCTGTGGCCTTGTGCTCTGCTGACAACTATACCTGATACTGCCTGTGTGCCTGGACTGCCAAATATAAGCTTCTCCCTTACTGAACACTCTCTGATACCTACTGCTTACCAGGAGCCCTACCCTGATTATAAAGGCAGTGACAGCTGACAGAGTGCTTGGTGTGTGACAGGGCGTGGTACAGCAGGTGCTGCAGGTGCCATTCCTCTGATCTTGGAGAGGAGCTTTTGAGGTAGCAGGAGCCTGAGAGGTAGCTGCATCGTACAGATAAGGACAGACAATGTGAAGGGAAAAACCTGCCCACGTGTAGGCAGCCAGAAGGTGGAGAACTGGGGATTGGACACAGATACGTCTCACTCCACACTGGAGGAGTCTGCGGCTGGTTCACATTCCAGGGAAGCCCTGTGGCCAGTGGCCCGTGCCCCAGTGAGCTGGGTTTTGTGCTGTAACTTTGGCCACAACTCAGTACCTGGGTCATCTTCCAGGGCCAGGCACTGCCAGTCTGTTCTACTGTTGTCAGCCTTTCCTGCACACCCAGACCACAACATGTGAACAACTGCTCAACTTCCATGAGCTGGAAACCACCAACAGTTTGGAATGGGACAGGCAGAGTATGGGGGTAAGCACTCGGTGCAGTGGCTAAGGTGGCACTTGGGACGCTCACATCCCAAGTCAGAGTGCTCGATCCTTGTCATGCTGCTCCAATTCCAGATCCAGCTTCCTACCAGTGTGCACCCTGGGAGGCAGCAGATGGGATGGCTCAAGTACTTGGGTCCCTGCCACCCTGTGGGACACTCAGATTGAGTTCTGGGTTCCTGGCTTTGACCTGACACAGCTCAGGCTGTTGTAGACATTTGGGGAGTGAACCAGCAAATGGAAGATTTCTATGTGTATCTCTGTCCCTCTGCATTTCAAATAAAATTAAAATAAATAAAACTTGTCATTTATTTATTTGAAAGGCAGAATTACAGAGAAAGGGAGACACATACACATTCTGAGAGCAAGAGGGAGTGCAAGAGCGAGAATCATCCATCTGCTGGTTCACTCCCCAGATGGCCACAGTGGCCAGGGCTGGGCCAGGCCAAAGCCAGGAGCTTCTTCCTGGTCTCCCACGTCGGTGCAGGGGCCCAAGCATGTGGGCCATCTTCCACTGCTTTCCCAGGCACATTAGCAGAGAGCTGGGTCAGAAGTGGAGCAGCCAGCACTCAAATCGGCACTCATATGAGCTGTTGGCATCACAGGCAGCAGCTTTACCCACTACTCCACAATGCTAGCCCCTAAAATAAATAAAATTAAAAAAAAACTGCTAGATATGAAGAGCACATAAAAAGACATTTATATTTGGTAAGACTTTATTAGGTTTTATTCTTCCCTCCCTACTTTCTTCACTTATTTCCAAACAAAAGAAAAAAGAAAAAAACAAAAAAACAACTAGAACTAAAAATTTCTTCTAAGGTCTCAGGAAAAATCTAGCATCTCAACAAAGAAGTTTCTATCACACCGACAGCCAAATGTGGGAAACCCTTACGTGTTTGGCTACACTGGCAATCTTTTTATTCCATGCAGAATTTGCTTAGTATAATTTTTTTGCAAGAGCTCTCTGAAGAAGCAGAGACCATGAGGGAAACAATGACACAGTAGATTGAGCAACGTTTGGTGAGACATTATGGTGAATATTTTCTGTTTTCCTCCTGCTTTAGAATTTGATTTTTTAAAATCTTTAAGATGATTTAGAGAAAAACATTATTTGACCATCAAATATTTGGAAATAACGACCATTTGTGTGGGGACAATACTAAAAGAAACGCATTAATTGAAAGAGTGAAAGAAAATGAAAAGAGACCCTCATTCTCTCACTACCTCAAAGCAGGTACAGACCCTCCCACTCAGGAGTCATCCCACCCCCAGGATGCCTAGAAGCAAACTTGCCCCAGCATCACAGGAAACTGAAACCCCGGGCATCAGCGAAGTTGTGGGCCAAACTAATTCAGGGGCACTTGAATTTAACAGTAACCGGTACACATCAAGTTTGAGGGCAGACACGGGAGTGGGAACTCTTTTTTTTTTTTTTTTAGCCTATTGAGAAACATATAACAACTAATATGTTCTATTTATTTATTATGGGAATTTTCCTAATTGACACATTTTTCATTCCATTTATGGGCTTTACCTGAAGAAATTAAAAAGCATTAGAAATATTTAGACTCTCAGTTAACTTAGATTCATTCTCCTCACTTAGCCTGAATTGGCAGTGTTTCACCGCAATGCGTTCTCAAGTCAAATATAAAATAAGTTAGAACTCTATATAACCTCCCCTGCTTAAACAGAGATAACTGAGAATAAAATACTTTCTCAGCTATGTGATATGATATCCTAATCCAGTTTTCATTAAACTTTTAAAATTGAGACCATTTTATATTTTCAAAGAGGTATTACATATTCATTGTATAAAGTCCAAACAATAAAAGTAAGACTTTAATAGAAAATCAAAATCCCCCGTAAACCTTCCCCATGGAGAATATTTCTTTAAATACAGGCATAACCAAGATTTTTTTCAGCGACTTCTGGTTCCAGCAACAAGGTGAGCTGATGCAGACACTTCTTGCAATAAAAATACTGATATTCTGAATAAAATATAGTAAAATAAATGATGACGGCACAATCGAGTTGTGTTTCTAAAAGCAGATCACTAAGCCAAGATGGAACCGAGAACGGTAAGGCTGGGTGACAAGACCAGCGCTTAGAGAATGGGAGCTGGGCTATACCTACGTCACATAAACACAAGGACGGAGACTCGGGCCCACTCACGATGAACTGAGAGGAATTAAGAGGCTGAATTAAAGAGAGGTTCTTGCAAGGTGGCTTAGTGCATTATATAGGAGAAAAAGGGCTCCAGCAAAGAAAAAGAGCGAGGAATCTTGCAGTATTCAGGACTTTGAGACCGTGGAAAATGACACATCTCTTCTGAGAAACAAACCCCACGCCTGAGTGCGGGATCTAATTTTATACTAGCTTTCCAGCGTGCGAGTCCTTGTCTGATAAACTCACAAAAATTGGGCAAGAAAAACAAATTGGGCCAAGGCCCACGACAATTCTGGGACCCTTGAGAACAAACAGTGAATCTGCGCTGTGGGGACAAAGCTGTAATCTAGGGCACGCGGGACTCCCACAAAACACACGACTGCTGGCTAAGAGGAGCTCGCAGCAACAAATTATAGACCATATGAAGAGACGAGGAAGAACTGAAAGACTTAGTGCTCAACAACATAGTACCCAAAGAATTACAGCTAACTGAGCACTCTGCAAGAGACTATAAACATCACTCTATTTAAAGTGCCTAAAGAGGAAAAAGACTAAATTGAAATCATAATGGGACAAAAGGACAATATGAGCAGAGAACAGGCAGATCTGAAACAGTACCAACTTGTTTCTAGGATATAAAAGATTAATTCATTCAAATTAAAAACTCAATGAGGGGCGGGTGTTTGGCCTAGCAGGTGTTAAGCCGCTGCCTGGGATACCGGCATCCCATATCGGAGCGATGCCATGGAGTCCTGGCTCTTCTCCTGATTTCAGTCCTGGCTGAGACCCACCCGGGAGGTAGCAGGAGATGGTTCAGGTAGTTGGGTCCCTGCCATCCACAGGCGAGACCTGGATTGAGTTTTCAGCCCTTGGCTTTGGCCCCCTGGCCACTGTGGGTGCTTGTGGAATGAACCAGTAAATGGAAGCATATTCTCTCTCTCTAATAAATAGATAAATAAATAAACAATGATTAATAAATAAACAATGATAGTTACATCATCATGATGTCAAATGAAATATATGCTGAGTAAATCACACATAATATAACAGAAACAAGATAGAAATAGGAGGCTGTGAGACATGGAAGACAGAGAGGCTCCAAAACACTTCTTTTTTTTTTTTTTTTTTTTTTAAGATTTATTTATCTATGTGAAAGTTAGAGTTACACAGAGAGAGAAGGCGACATAGTAAGAGAGGTCTCCCATCCGCTGTTTCACTTCCCAGTTGGCTGCAATGGCCGGAGCTGCGCTGATCTGAAGCCAGGAGCCAGGATTTTCCTCCAGGTCTCCCACCCAGGTGCAGGGGCCCAAGGACTTGGGCCATCTCCCACTGCTTTCCCAGGCCATAGCAGAGAGCTGGATAGAAGTAGCGCAGCCAGGACTTAACCGGCGCCCATATGGGATGCCGGCACTTCAGGTGGCAGCCCTACCCACTACACCACAGCGCCAGCCCCTCCAATACACTTCTTTCTCTTTCTTTCTTTCTTTCTTTCTTTCTTTCTTTCTTTCTTTCTCTCTCTCTCTCTCTCTCTCTCTCTCTCTCTCTCTCTTTCTTTACAGGCAGAGTGGACAGTGAGAGAGAGAGAGAGAGAGAGAAAGGTCTTCCTTTACCGTTGGTTCGCCCCCCAATGGCCGCTACAGCCAGCGCGCTGCGGCCAGCGCACCGCGCTCATCTGAAGCCAGGAGCCAGGTGCTTCTCCTGGTCTCCCATGGGGTGCAGGGCCCAAGCACTTGGGCCATCCTCCACTGCACTCCCTGGCCACAGCAGAGAGCTGGACTGGAAGAGGAGCAACCGGGACAGAATCCGGCGCCCCGACCGGGACTAGAACCTGGTGTGCCGGCGCCGCAGGCAGAGGATTAGCCTATTGAGCCACGGCACCGGCCTCCAATACACTTCTAACAGGCATTCCAGAAAGAAACTTGTAGAGATGTTAGAAGAGATAATGAGAAGAAGCAACACCATTACAATTCACGTATTGTATGGCTCTGTTACGTGGAAAACTCAAAATCTTCCACATAGAAATTATTAGAATTAACAAAAGTTTAGCAAGATAAACATACCGTTTCTGGAAATATGTATGTTTTCATCCAAATTTTAATTTTTTGACATAAAGTTGGTTGAAAGTGTTCTTTTACAACTTTAATTTCTGCGGCATCTAAGTTTATGACACTTGTATAGCGATAACAATATTTATTTGTGCTGTCTCTTTTTTTGAGTAAACTCAGTAGTGTTTATTTACTTTGGTATGGTTTTCAAAGAATGATGGGTATTTACTTGGTTTGTGCTCTTACATCTACACTGTCCTTTATCCTGCTTCATTTGTGGTTTTCTTTGGTTGCCCTTCCTTTGACTTTCAAGTCTGGAAAAATAGCTACTAATTTTTTCAGCCTTTCTTTCAGAGTACCATTTGATTGTATCTCACAACACACCTTTTGTGATGTATTCTATACTTTGTGATATATTTTGTAGGTGAGCTGGTAGATAAGAAAAATAGAGATAAGATACTTAAGGATAATTAGAAATTATACTAATAGAACACACCATACTAAAAAAATAGCTCTAGGTTAAATAGTGAGTTATATATGAAATACAAAACCCCATAAAAATTCTAGAAGTCAGTAACCAAGAATACTTATGTGGCCTCAGGGATATAAACATTTTCTTAGTGGGAAATAAAAATTGAAGTCCATAAAGGAAAATTTGACAAATTGGGCTACATTAAAAGTAACATGATACTTTTTTCCAAAAAGCATCATAATGAAAATGAAATACCAGCTACAGATTGGAATGATATATTTGCTATATATATATTTTCCAAGGGATTAACATCTTGAACATGTAAATAATTCTTACAAATCAATAAAAGACCAACCAATTATTAAATTTTATTTATTTATTCATTTATTTTTACTTGAAAGGTAGAGAGACTGACAGATCTCCCATCCACTGGTTCAGTTCCAAATGGTTACAACAATCAGGGTTGGGCCTGACTTGTGGGTGGCAGGGACCCAAGGACTTGAGCCATCATCTGCTGCCTCCCAGGGTGTGCATCAGCAGGAACCCGGAATGGAGAGAGGAACCAGGACTTGAATCCAGGCACCCTGATATGGGATGCATGGCGACTTGACCAGTGTACCAACTGCCTATCCCAAACCAAATTTTTCAGAGGGTCAACAAATTAACACGAGGGGCCAGTGTTGTTGTGTAGTGGGTTAAGCTGCTGCCTATAGTGCCAGGCTCCCATGGGGCGCTGGTTTGAGTCCTGACTGCTTCTCTTCCAATCTAGCTTCTTGCTAATATGCCTGGGAAAGCAGCAGAGATTGGACCAAGTGCTTGGGCCCCTGCACCTACATGGGAGACCCAGATGAAGATCCTGGCTCCTGGCTTCGGCCTAGCCCAGCTCTGGTCGTTGTGGCCTTTTGGGGAGTGAACCAGCAGATGGATGATTCTCTCTCTCTCTCTCTTCCTCACTTCCCCCTCCCTCTCTCTCCTTCTCTCTCTGTACTTCTGCCTTTCAAATAAATAAACAAATCTTTAAAGAGAAAGAGAGAGAAATACTAGAGTAATTTGCTATGAACCAAATTAATACACTAATTTCCATTGTATTTTTGGCAGCTTTATTTCTGCAGAACTGTTAACTCCCATGATGTTAGTCATTGTGCTCCTATTGATGAGAGAGCCGAACGGAGTTCCAGGCTCCTGACTTTGGCCTGGCCCAATCCTGGTCATTGCAGCCATCTGGGGAGTAAACCAGTGGCTGGAAAACCTCTCTCTCTCTCTCTCTCTCTCTCTCTCTCTCTCTCCCCCCCTCTCACTGTAACTCTGCCTTTCAAATAAATAAGATAAATCTTTTTTAAAAAGTAACACAAGTGTTTTATTAAAAAGAAAATATACATGGCCAACAGATGTACAAAATGTCACTCTATCTCATTAACAATTAGGAAAACACAAATTAATTTTGCTCTAAAGTACTGTTACAGGCCCATAAAATTGACTAAAATTGGAGTCTGACATTGTCATGCATTGGCAGGAATGTGGAGCAAGGGACTCCCATATACTGCTGATGGGAGTGTAAATTAGCACAATCACTTTGGAGACCAATTTTGCTTCATGAAGATGCCGTAGTCTACAATCCAGCAGTTTCCCTCCTATATACAAACTCTAGAGAAGTTGCCCTGTTCCAGCAGGCATTGAGGAATATGCTTAAAGCAGCACTATTCCTATTGGTAAAAATCTAGAAGCAAATCAATGTCCTCTGACAGGAGAATGAATAAAATATAGGTGGTGGAATACTATATAGTACTGTGCATGAATAAATTAGGAACACAATTTGGAGTGGAGCAAACAAATTGCGTAACAGATGCAGCATTGGTTCAACAATTGCACAACAATGTATTTTCTTCGTGAATCTTCAGAAATGACAAACATCAAGGTCAGGATAATGGTGACCTGCAGAGCAGGAATGCGGGGGAGGGGGAGGCAATGCCACAGGAGAGATGCTGATGTTCTCCTACACTCGCTGGTGAACATAAAGGTGTTGCGGTATTCTTTTGTTTTCTTCCTTTGCTCTTTATATCACATATTTCTAAAAAATCTTTTTGTATTGATCTGGGAGTCAGAGGGAGAGAGAGACAGAGTCTCCCATGTGAGTGGCAGGTACCTAACTACTTAAAGTCATCATTGCTCTTCCCAGGGTCTGCCTTACCAGCAAGCTGGAGTCACACGCCAGACCCAAGAATAGAAGCCAAGTACTCCTGCCCATTTTCCTTACACACGTATGTTTTGAAAATAGTGTTTTGTATCTGCTCAATATTTATTAAGAACAACATAAAAAAAAAAAAACCAGAATGCTGAGGAGTAGCAATTTCCCAGGATTCAAAAAGGACAGAAATTCTCAGATTGTAAAGTGCACCCAGATCCTTGCAGGTTGCATAAAAATAAACTCAGACCTAGAAGGAAGAAAGACCTCAGCACGAAAGACAGAGGGAAAAGACGGATTCCTTTCAAAGGAGAAGTCCATTTCTCTGTGTCTGTGAGCCATGCCAGAAGTGAGATAAGGTCTATGTGTGCTGAAAGGGGGAAGTCCCGGGCAGAATTCATCACTGAGCTGTTTCACTCAAGTGGGAAGGATAGGGGCAGGTATCTGGTGCAATGGTTAAGATACCACTTGAGGGGCCAGTACTGTGGTGTAGTGGGTAAAACTGCTACTTGTGATGCTGGAATCCCGTATGGCACCGATTAGAGTCCAGGTTGTCCAACTTCCAATCCATCTCCCTGCTAATGGCCTGGGAAAAGCAGCAGCAGATGGCCCAAATGTTTGGACCCTTCCACCCATGTGGGAGACCCAGATGAAGCTCCTGGCTCCTTGATTTGGCCTGGCCCAGCCCTGGCCATTGCAGCCATCTGGAGAGTGAACCAGAAGATGGAAGATCTCTCTCTCTCCTTTTCTCTCTCTCTCTCCCCCTCCCCCTCTCCTCCCTCCCCCCTCTATCTGTAACTCTTTCAAAATAAATAAATACATCTTAAACAAAAAAAAGACACCACTTGGGAAACCCTCATCGTATATCAGAGTACCTGGGCTCAAGTCTCTGTTCTGCTTCTGATCCAGTTTCCTGATAATGAGTACCCTAGGAGGCAGCAGGTGATGACTCAAGTATTTAAATTCCTGCTACCCACATGGGAGACCTAGGTCAAGTTCTAGGGTCCTGGCTGCAGCCCGAGGCAGCACTGGCTGTTGTGGGTATTTGGGGAGTGAGCCAGTGGACTGAAGATCTCTCCTCTTTCTTTCTTTCTTTCTCTCTCTCTCTCTCTCTCTGTCCCTCTGCCTTTAAAATAAATACAAATAAAATAAACAAAACTTTAAAAAAAAATGAGGGCTAACCTATGACCCTAACATAGTTTATCATTAACAGACCTTCTTTAGAGAAACTACAAAAATAC